ACTGCAGAGACAGCCGGGAAAGATAACTGTGCCAGGCCTCCTGTGCAGGTTGAGCCAGAGTTTACTGTGGGGACAGAAAAAAATTACATTTATTTAATATTTTTATGCCCTGAGGCTGCAGAACAGAAAGTGGAGCTGTGTCCTGGGATGGTACTGGGAAAACAAGTCCAGCATGGCTTTAGGATGTTCCCAACCATGTGCCAGGCAGAGCTTTATCCTCAAAAAAAGTAATTTTCTTTATTGGAGGTGATTCCTGATACAATTAACAGTATGTGGAAAAAACAGGGTAAAACACCAGGGTTTTGTGGAGCACTTTACTGAGGGATAAACCTGCTGCTGTTTTCAAGCAAAAGCAGAGGAGGCACGAAAGCGAATCAGGATCCTGAATGGGGAAGGAAAAGACCTTCCAAAAATTAATCTTGCTGCTTAGCACAGAGCAAAACTCGGTTTTTTCCAGCTGCATTATTCCTCCTTTGGTTTGAGGCTCTTATTAGGGACTGCTTCTGGCACTAGGCTGCTGTAATTCAGAGCCTGCGTTTTAATCCACCCTTCAAATTAGAATCCTCAAAAAGGATTTAGATATCCTGGGCTTATCCTGTCCTCGGGAGTGCGTGAGAGACGGCAAGTTCATCTTCCCGTAAGCCCCGAGGGCAGGATTCACCCAGCCCCGCTCTGCCCTCACCTGCTCTTCCAAAAACCGGCCAAATTCGGGGCCCGTTCTGCCTGGATTAACGTTTTTCAAACCAGAATGAGTGAGAGCAGCAGAGAAGGGCCCTGCACGGCTCAGGGATGTGTCACCCTCTCTGTTCACTCACGGGGGAGAAGCAGGGAGGGTGTGACAGGGACCTTCCCATCCTCTGTGACATCCCCGGCGCTAAAGCCAAGGGGTCGCTCGCAGTGACAGGGGACACACAGCGCCAGGTCCGTGTCACCAAAGTCCTCCGTGACCAGGGGAAGGTGGGAGAGCAGCCCTGGGGCCACTTCGGGCTGCGGGAACACCCGGGGGATGAACGGATACCCCGGGGAGGATGAATGAGCACCCGGGAGGTAAACGGAGCACCCGGGGGATGAACGGAGCACCCGGGGGATGAACGGAACCACCCAGGGGATGAATGGACCCACCCGGGGGGATGAACGGAGCACCCGGGGGATGAACGGAGCACCCGGGGGGATGAACGGAGCACCCCGGGGGATGAACGGACCCACCCGGGGGATGAACGGAGCACCCGGGGGGATGAACGGAGCACCCGGGGGATGAACGGGGCACCCGGGGTGATGAATGGAGCACCCGGGGAATGAATGGACCCACCCGGGGGGATGAACGGAGCACCCGGGGTGATGAACGGACCCACCGGGGGATGAACGGAGCACCCGGGGGGATGAACGGAGCACCCGGGGGATAAATGGACCCACCCGGGGGGATGAACGGAGCACCCGGGGAATGAACGGAGCTCCCGGGGGATGAACGGAGCACCCGGGGGGGGATGAACGGAGCACCCCAGGGGGATGAACGGAGCACCCGGGGAATGAACGGAGCACCCGGGGGATGAACGGAGCACCCGGGGGGATGAACGGAGCACCCGGGGGATGAACGGAGCACCCGGGGGATGAATGGAGCACCCCGGGGGATGAACGGAGCACCCGGGGGATGAACGGAGCACCCGGGGGATGAACGGAGCCACCCGGGGGATGAACGGACCCACCCGGGGGATGAACGGAGCCACCCGGGGGATGAACGGACCCACCCGGGGGATGAACGGAGCACCCAGGGGATGAACGGGGCACCCGGGGGGATGAATGGAGAACCCGGGGGATGAACGGAGCCAGCCGGGGGGATGAATGGAGAACCCGGGGGATGAACGGAGCACCCCAGGGGGATGAATGGAGAACCCGGGGGATGAACGGAGCCAGCCGGGGGGATGAACGGACACTACGGGAGATGAACGGAGCACCCGGGGGATGAACGGACCCACCCGGGGGATGAACGGAGCACCCGGGGGATGAACGGA